TGGGGACACAGAGGGTGACACCAGGTGACAGTGGGGACACAGAGGGTGACACCAGGTGACAGCAGGGACACCGAGGGTGACACCAGGTGACAGTGGGGACACAGAGGGTGACACCAGGTGAATGGGGTCAGGGCGGGGCCACCAGGTGCGACACCCCCGCGCTGTCCCATTGGCTGTCACCGCCCCGGCGACACCTGGGACGGACAGGGCGACACGCAGGGATGGAGGGACACACGGAAGGGTGGGGAGGGACACTTGGGGACAGCGAGGTGGCACTAGGGGACATCAGACCACCCCAGCACCCCCCAGACCCAGGCACAGCACCGCCCCCCCCCACCTGAGAGCGCTCCCAGCACCGGGGAGCCCGCGGGGGTCCCGGGGGTCCCATCCCGGGGCGATCCCTCGGGGCCTCCCTTGCGGGGGTTCCCCATTCCTGGGGGGTTCCCCATCCCCGGGGTCCCACCCGGGGGGGGTTCCCCATTCCCGGCGGTCCCCGAGCGGGGCTCGCAGCCCCGGCCCGCGCTCCCCATCCTGAGGGTCCCGGTGTGTGTGTGGGGGGGGCGGTTCCCCCTCACAGCTCCCCCCACGGCCCCCTCAGGCCCGGCGCGGCTTCCCCCAAGGCGGGGCCGCACTGGCCGGCCCCGGGGCCGCCTCCCCGCACCCCTCCAGGCCGGAGAAGCCCCCAAGGAGCCCCGGGCTCGCCGCCGGCCCCGCACCAATGTCGCTGTCCAGGCCCCGCCGCCGGGTCCCGCCCGCTCCGCTCGGCTCCTCCGCGACAAGATGGCGGCCGCGGCCGCTGCCACCCGCCGCCCCCTCCCTGCGCGCGAGAGGCCCCGCCCGCCGCGCTCTCCCATTGGTCAGCGCCGCCCGGCGCCGCGCTCTCATTGGCTGTCTCCTCCCGCCACCGCCCGCCCCCTCCCTCCCCGCCTCAGCCGACGCGAGGATTGGGCGGGCGCGCCCCGGCTGGCCACGCCCCTTTTCCTGCCGCAGAGCCCCGGATGGGGAAGGCCACGCCCCCTGCTGGGCCTCGTGACCCGGCGCGGCGCACGCCGCCCCGACGGCGGCCGAGAGGGGACAAGGGGCTGGAAAGGCGGAGTGGGGGGGGGCTATGGGGGGTACGGGGGGGTCTGGGAGCCATAGGAGCCCGTGGGGGGCTATAGGGACACAAAGGGGGTTTGTGGGGGCTTATAGGGGCCTATCAGAGGCTTGTAGGAGCGCTTGAAGAGCCCACAGGAAACCGCGGAAGACTTTACGTAGTGTCATGCCGAATTGCACAACTATGGGGAACCGTATGCAAAAAATTTAAATCAAGGTCTCCGAGGTAACGCAGGAACCTATAGAAACCTAACGGGGGCCCTCAGAGCCACAGGCGGCTACACACAGGGGCTTGGGGAGGATTTGAGCGGGCTATGGGGCACCAAAGGGGGTCTAGTGCAGCCCAGGGGGAGCGTGGGGAGCCTCGGGGGTCTCCAGGGCCCCAGAGGGGCTCACTGGCCGCTTATGCGGGGCTTGGTGGCTGTAGGGGGCCATGGGGGGCTCACAGGGGCTGTGGGGAGCTCCAGGGGCTCATGGGAGGGGCCATGGGGATCAGGGCGCCATTTCCGCATGGTGTCGCGGCCTGGTGACGTCAGAGAGCCGAAAGGGCCTCTGGGAAATGCAGTGTGATGAGCACGCGGAAATGGCCGCGGGACCAGAGCACAAATCCCGCGGTGTCGCTGCCTGGTGACGTCACTGGGCCGCAGGGGCCGATGGGAGATGTAGTTTCTTGTTCTTCCCCCCAAAATAAAAGGCGCAGGAGTCGGGGGGGATCCAGAACTTTATTCACAAACCAACACCGGGGTCTGGGGTCACTCCGGGGGGGGCAGGGGGAGGCGCTTGGGGTCGTAGTAGTTGGAGGTGAGCAGGGGCAGCCCCCGGCGCTCCCGCTCCCGCACCTGGATCTCGGCCTCGCGCCGCGCCCACTTCTGCAGCCTGTGGGGGAGGGGGTGGACAGGTGAGCCCCACACCTTGGGGATCCATGGGGACATCCCAAAGCCCCTGCCAGGTGTCCAAATTCCTCCCTCCTCAAGGGGCCTGGGATGGACCCTGGGATACCCCTATAGATCCCATACGACCCCCCAGAGTCCACACTAAGCCCCCTCAGCCTCCTATAGCCCCCCCAGGGCTCTGTAGCCCCCTAAATCCTCTCCCAGATCCACCATGGGCTCCTATACACACCCTCAGAGCTGCCCAGGGCCCTACAGACCCCCAAAAAATTAATGGAGATCCCCATAGGATGCACAGGGGGGGTCTTGTGGGCCCCCAAATTCCCTTGCGAGCTCCTACAGAACTCTCAGGAGACCCTCCAGCACCCAAAGACACCCCAAAAAACCCCAAAAATTTAGTTAAGAGCCCCTCCACAGCTTCCCCACAATCTCCCCTTGGGGCTGCCCCTCTCCCCCTCTTCACCGTGGGGGGGTTTCCCAGGTGAGAACCCCCCGATCACAGACCCATAGTCGGGCAGGTAATGCACGAAGACGGAGCCCAGGACGATGGCGATGGAGATGCCGGCCACGAAGGCGGCGCGCATGTTCAGCACGTCGGCATCGGGGTCGGCCGAGAAGCCATGATAGTCGGGGTTCTGTGTGGGGGGAGGGTCCTGTGAGCCCCCTGCCCCACCCAGGCACCCCCAGGTGTGTCCCACCCCCTCCCCCTGGACCCCCAGGTGTGTTCCACCCCCTCCGCAGGGCCAGAGGAGCCACCTGAACCCAAACCCCACCCCAAGGTGTGTCCCACCCCCTCCCC